TATGTCTTCTTTAGAAACTTCTTTTCCATTTTTCGATCACCTAAGATTTTGAGCACCCCTGTATTTCGAGTATCTCCGAATTCATTTTCTGGTACTAACAAATGCCCCCTGAAAAACATTTGTTTCGAGGAAACTGAGAAAGAATGTTTTCCAATGTCTCAGTTTTCTTTCTCTGATAAGACCCTAGAACCATGTGCTCTTCGCGAGAATTAAATGCCCCTGACATTTTTAATTCCAGATTTCTCCTTTTTGTACCTGCTACAATAAATTTGGCAGCACTGATTCCGCTTCCTTGGGATATGCTGACGCAATCTCAAATTTTGTCCATTAGTGAATATTTTCGGTTACCAAAAAAATTTGAATTCCCCCTTTTTTGAATTTCACTGCGGGCTTTTACTGCGCTTTGGCCCATTTTGCTCTTTTATATAACCTTTCACCTTGCCCTTATGAGTACTTTTTACTGTTTCTTCGCACCCATCTCATTTTTACCTTCGACTTCTTCATCTTCGTCTCGTTCCCATGGCAACTTCCGCTGCGTCCGTGTCTACGGCTACCCCTGTGGCTTTGACGGTTTCTCCTACTCCTTCTGTGGATCATCTCGACCAAGCTCTCATGGACCCTCAATTCAAACTAGAGATTGAGTGGATGGTTGATGATCTAAATGCATATCCTGATCTTCCTCCAGAGAACCACAGAGCTGAACGAATATGCGCATACTTTTGCTGCAGCCTCCGAATTGCACACGAAGTGGTCTATTTCGAATCAGGAGATGGTTCAGATCAAGACTGATACTAAAGAGGATCGAACCAAATTAGAAAAGCTCAAAACAGAACTTCTTTCGATCAAGGACTCCACTTCTCAGATAGTTCCAGAATTGATGAAGCTCAAGCAATCTGAGGAAGAGACGAAGCGAATCCTTGCTGTCCTGCAACGAGAGCTTGATTCGATCAAGTCTAAACATGCTGCTTTAAAGCTCCAAAGCCAAGAGATCATGTTAAAGCAAAAGGTTTTGCAGGAGGAAAATGCATATCTCTCATAATTTCGAAGTCATTGGATCAAAAGAGAAGATTGGAAGTATTGTGTGCTTCTCGGAAACAAAGTCTTGACCAAGCCTACCAGGCATATGAAGCACTTAAATCCAAATTCTGCAAGTGATCGAAAAACTGAGAGATGCCTATTTATAATTTAATATTTATCCGTTTGTACCTTTATTGCTTATCTCTTTGAACACTCGTCTTAGTACATGCTACTTTCATGAAATTTCTTCAAGTATTTTCCATTGATCACTTTACTTATATTTCTCGAATTTATCTCTTTGATCAAATATGCATTGTTTGCATAAAGTCTTTCGATGATGAACGACCCTTCCCAATTATAGGTCCATTTACCCCTATCTCGAGATTTTTGGTCCATTGGGAAGATGACTTTTAAGACTAAGTCTCCACTCAAAAATTGTTTGCTCCTGACCTTTTTGTTATAAGCTCAAGCTATTTTTTCTTTCTAGTGAATGACATTTTTCATAGCTATCATTCTTTCGTCATCCAGTCGAATTAGTTCATCATACATTAAATTCCAGTAATCCTCGACTGCTCATTTTTGCCTTTGCACTTGAACAGATTGTAAATTGATATTAATAGGCAAAACTGTTTCGTGACCATAAACCAACTTGTATGGCATAGTTTGGCATTCCTGGGTGAATTTCTGTAAGCTCACAATACTTGCAGTAATGTTTCATGCCAATTTTGAGGTTTCCCCGAAATATGTTTTTTGATCAAAGCTATGATCACTTTGTTAGCAGCCTCGACTTGGCCATTAGCTTGTGCATAGTAGGGTGTCGAAGTAATCATTTTGATTCCTCTTGACTGGGCATATTGCACCACTTTTCAACCTGTAAATACCGTTCCTTGATCTGTAGTTATTGTCTGAGGTATTCCGAATCGAAATATAATATGGTCTTCAATAAAATTTATCACTTCTTTCTGATCAACCTCTTTTACAGGAATTGCTTCCACCCATTTCGTAAAATAATCAATGGCCACGATTATGTACTTATGGTTTTTTGCTGACGGAGGATGAATCTGGCCAATTACGTCAATTGCCCAACCTCGAAAAGACCAATGTTTAACAATCGCGTGCAACTCGGTTGCAGGTACTCGATGTATTGGGCCATGTTTCTGGCACTCTTCGCAACCTTTTGCGAATTTGATACAATCTTTGAACATACTTGGCCAAAAGTATCCTTTTCTGGACAAAGTCCACTTCATTTTCTCTCCCGCTTGATGAGCACCACAAATACCTTCATGTACCTCTGTCATGGCTATGTAGCTCTCATGATTTCTAAGGCACTTAAACAGAACTCCATCGAAGCCTCTCTTGAATAATTCATCATTCAATATCACATAATTGAGAGCTCGATATTTAACTTTTCTTTCAGCTTGCGAATTTGGACTTTGCATATTCTCGATTAGCACTTTCCCCCAGTCCTGAATGGTGGAGGTGTCAATGGTGAGGCATTCGTGCCCGTCACTCAACTCATTCCTTATACAAACAAGAGATTCGAGACATTCCCTGCTTATCTTGTACTTAGATGCAATCTGAGCTAATTCATTCGTAATTTCATTCTCGTTACGAGAAATATGTTCTAATTGGACCTCATCGAACGAATTTAACAAAGCTGTAGCTCGAGAATTGCATTCAAGTAACTTTTCATTCATGCATTTATATTCTCGAGTTAACTGTTTAATCACGAGTTGCGAGTCACCTCGAATGATTATGTTCCTTGCCCCCAAGTCCTTAAGCAATTTTAGCCTGGTAATCAATGCTTTGTATTCAGTTTCATTATTCGAGCATTCGGATTTCGTTCTCAATGAGAATTTGGTGGGAATCCCACCCAGGGAAATAATCAGTAATCTGATTCCTGCTCCTAGCTCGTGTTTCGATCCATCGAAAAATAGTTCCCATGATTTCGTGGTTAAATAATTAACCTGTTCATTAAATTCGAGTGATCTACGAGAAAATCAACGATTACTTGTCCTTTTGTGGCTTTGAGGGGGAACAAACGTTAATGAATACTCGGTCAATGCAAGAGCCCATTTCCCAACTCGAGAGTGCAGGATAGGTTTAGATAACATATACTTAATCACATTATTTTGACAGAATACGAATACATCATAAGGTTTAATATAATGCTTCAGCTTTGTACAAACATAATATAAACTTAGACATAACTTCTCCAAAGGAGTGTATCTGATTTCTGCCTCGACTAACATCCTACTGATGTAATAAATGGCTCTTTCGATACCATTTTCGTCATCTTGCGACAGCATGCCCGCAATAGTCGAATCATTGGCCGAGACATACAATTTTAGCTTTCCTCCTTCAGAGGGTGGCACCATCACTGGAGGGTTGATCAAATAATTCTTAATCTCCTCGAATTCCTTTTGATGATTTTCGTCCTATCGAAATTCTTCCTCCTTTTTCAATCATAACAAAGGGGAAAACACCTTAGTCTTTCCTGATAAGTTCGAAATAAATCTTCGAAGGAAATTTATCTTACCTAACAAAGACTGTAACTCCTTCTTATTCGAAGGAAGCTTAGTTTCCATGATTGCCCGAGTCTTGTTCATATCTACTTCAATGCCTTTCTAGTGTACGAAGAACTCTGGGAAATCCCCCGCTGAAACACTGAAAGCACATTTCAATGGATTCATTTTCAGCCCATGTTTCCTCTTTCTCTCGAAAGACAATTTCAGGTGTTGTATGTGATCTACTTTTCGTTTCGATCCAATCACTATGTCATCAATATAAACCTGCATGAACTTTCCGATCAAGACATGAAAAATTAAGTTCATTGCTCTTTGATATGTTGCACCAGCATTTTTCAAGCCAAAAGGGATTACTACCCATTCGTAAGTTCCCAAGGCACCTGGGCACCTAAAAGCAGTTTTCGACACATCATTTTTAGCAATATAAATCTGGTTGTACCCAGAATATCCATCTAATAAACTCAAAATTTCATTACCTGCGACGACATCAATCATTGTTTCCGCAATAGGCATGGGATATGCATCCTTAGGCGTGGCTGCATTCAAATCTAATCGATGCATACCCTCATTTTTCCATTTTTTTTATAACAGGCACAATGTTCGATACCCAATCGGCGTACCTCGAAGTACGAATGAATTTGTCCTTCAGTAGCCTCTCGATCTCTTCTTTGATTTTTTCGATCGCCTGCGGAGCAAACCTTCGTGGGTTTTGTTTCACTGGTTTCTTTCCCAAAATCATAGGCAACCTATATTTTACTAAATTTCGATCCAAACCAGGCATTTCTTCATAATCCCAAGCGAAGCAATCTTTATATTTGTGCAAGACTTGCACGATTTGTTCTTTAACGCTTTTCTCCGCTAGTTTGCTAACATAGGTGATTCTCCTCTTTTCGATTGAACCAAGATTGACTTCTTCCAGAGGATCCCGAGATTCCACTTTAAGCCCATCATTTACCATTTTCTCGAATCCTAGAGGAGCATCATCAAAGACACAATCAAGTCTTTGTTCGATTCCTTCCGAATCCGTATTCTGCTCATCCTCGAGTCTTACTCTGAGAGACTCTTTCTCAGCTGTTTCGATTACCTCTTTTTGGTTTTCCTCTTTTGTGTCGGCCTTCGTAGCCGTAATAGTTTTGACCTTCATCGAATGTGTGCCCCCTTGGGCTATTTCGACTTCACTGCGTTCCTCGGCCTCATTGGCCGTTCTTTCGGCCATGTAGGCCACAATTCGAGCTAAGAAGCTCGAACAAGGATCTTGGCTCATCATTCTCGCACTTGAGCCGATTCAATTTCGACTTTGTGGATAATAAATTCTCTTCGAACATCCCAACAGAAAGTCTTCTTAACACCCTCTTCTGCCTCCAAGACATATGGGTCTATGGCATCGAAAGGCTTAGTTTTTGCGAATGCAGTAATTTGTTGATCCGCGAAATACATTCCCGTCTCATACTCTTTCTAATCTGCATCCAACACTTCTAAGTGTTCCTCATCATTCCAGAAAAAGACTTTCTGGTGCACTGTCGAAGGTACTGCTCCCATTCCGTGGATCCATTCTCTTCCTAACAGCACATTAAAGTTAGCTTTCGAGGGAGTGACAATAAACATGGTGGTCCTTTTCACACTACCAATTTGGACATCCAGCAATATCATCCCTTCTGGTTGGGAAGATTTTCCAGCATAATCAATAAGGATATTGTGACGTTTCAGATCTGCCAAAGTCTTCCCAAAATGTTTCAGCATCGTTTGTGGGAGTATGTTTATAGTAGCACCACCATCAACTAGGAATTTGTTGATTTCAACTTCTATCATAAGGGTCAACAGTAAAGGTTTCAAATGGTCCTTCATTTCTTGGGTAGGTGAATCGAACACTACTGAATTAAACTTTGGAATGACTCGAGATATTTGATTCACTTATACTATTTTTGACTCATAGTTGGGGTCACCGAAAAAATCTTCACGGTGTATGTCTTCCTGTTCATTCACAGATTCCATTGCTTCAGCATATTCGAAAGGTAGGATGGACAACACTCCACAAATATCTTCGAGAGAGTCCTCGAAGCCACTTTCAAAACAATTTGTAATCAAATCTTCCTCATCCTCTGCGAATTTCTTAGATGCCTCACTTTCGTAAGGTACAGGAATCGAAAATGGATTACCTTTGCGTCCCTCGAAAGTTGCCTTTCTCATTCACTACAAAAAATTCGTCATTTTGCGGCGGTTTTTTTTCATATTGCGGCGGTTTACGCCCCCCTCAAAATAAATAATGGCGTTTTATAAAAACGCCGCAGTTACGTTCGCCACTAGCATTATACGACGATTTTTGCCAACCTCTGCTACCTGTTCCATTCTGCGGCGTTTTGTGTAGCGGGGGTTTTTGACCTCCTCAATTTGAATGTTTTTT